AGTAATTGAACTCTATAGGTTTCACAAAATGTTTCTTAAGTATTCCTGGAGTCAACACTGCAAAACAACAAGAGCAATTAAGTTAAGAATATTATTCAAGGTTATAAAAGTTTAGGCACAAATTGTTCTTTAGAATACAAATAAATACACACAAATATTCCTACCATTCCATTTCTTTGTAAAATCTAAAGAAGGAGAATCCAACATAGCATGCCACTTCAAAGATAGAATATCAACTTGTTGGAATTTGAAGTACAGTGAATAGCAGCTATCATCAATCACTAACATTACTGGCTTCACTACTGCCATTGCAAACCTTGCATCTTCAAAAGTAGAAAATTGTTTCAAAGCACAAAAATAATACAAATTAGGGAAATCATGTATACAGAAAATTTACATACCCAGCAATAGTTCAAAGGAGCAGCAATTCCTCCAACAAATGCAATGACTAATAACCATTCCAAATACCAATCACTGAAATGAAAAATCAAATTAATTCACCATTCGTAAAATCATTGATGATGAATTAGCAGCGATAACTAGATTCTATACTACGTGTTGTAAGCAAAGATGGCGACAACATTACCAGGTGAGACTCCAAGCTGGAGAAGGTCATTTGCTAGTGACACCACTTCCTCCACAAACTGTTGCCCGGTTTTGCGGTTGTTACCAGCAATGATCACCGGAAAATCTCGCCGGAAGGTTAACAGTCGACTTAGACATTGGCAGATGTGAGACAATGGTTCCTTGAAGAAGTTTCTTTGCCTCATCAATCCCCGTTATTTTACCAAAAGTGCACGAACAATGGTATCAAAAGTTATATAATTAGGAAGGCAATTATTATCTACCATTTTATAAAGTAAGCTCTCTGCTTCATCTAAATAACCCTCTTTACAAAGCCCATTGATCATAATGTTATATGTTCGGATATTTGGTTGACACTCTTTGGCAGACAGAAGTTGAAAAATCTCTTTTGCATACTTTATTCTTCCACTTTTGCAAAGGCCATCAAGAAGTATATTATATGTGCGAATGTTTGGCAAAATCCCAATTTCAATAATGTGCTGAAATAATGCAAGTGCCTTGTCAAATTTTTCATGTTTGAAGTAATCATCTAATAGTATATTGTAAGTGATTAAATCGGCAGGTTGACCACTGGCACGCATGGCCTCAACCAGGTCCCACTCGTACAGTGTTCTTCCAGATTTCGACAAACCATCAAGAAGGCAGTTATAAGTTACAGTATCAGGAACTAAATTCTTCTTATGCATTTCCGTCAATAGCATCATAGCTTCATCAACCATCTTAACCTTACAATATCCATTAATCAAAGTACAATAACTGATAACATTAGGCAAACAACCTCTCTCAACCATCTTATCAAACACCCGTTTAGCCTCATCCACACCACCACACAAACAAAAACCATTCATCAAAGCATTGTAACTAACAACATCAGGATTTTGACCTCTTTTAATCATCACAGCAACAACATTATGAGCTTCAGTAACCAATCCTACTTTACACAAACCATCAATCAATATATTAAAAGTATACACATCAGGGTAAATTTTTCTTTGTACAGCCATTTCATCGAGCAACTCAGCTGCGGCTCGAAACCGACCAACAGAGCATAAACCATGAATAAGAGAATTGTAACTATAAATATCAAGACCAATACCATTAGCAACCATTTCAGAACACAAACCACAAGCCTCATCTACAAGTCCTTGTTTACAAAGACCATCAATAACAGTATTATACATAATCAAATTAGGGTAAACCCTAATCTTCTTCATCTTAGGAAACATCTCAATAGCAGTTTTTGTTTTACCAGTTTTACACAAACCATTGATTATTGTCCCATAACAGACCTCATCAAACCTAAACCCTTTAGAAACAGAATCATCAAGCAAACCAAGCGCCTCCAAAACCCTACCTTTCAAGCACAAACCTTTCATCAACGTAGTAAGCGTTTTCACATCTAACTCAAAACCCCTCTTGAGAATCTTCCCAACAACCGAAAAAGCAAAACCCATTTGACCCAATTGAGAAAAACCATTGATCAATATACTCATAGTGATAAGCGAGGGTTTGACGGTTCCCTTCAGCTCCAGCTTAGAATACAGCGAAACGACGGTGGTGTAGCGTTTGAGTTTCGCTATTGTTGTTAAGAGTTTATTGAATTCTTGAATGGGTGGTGGGTGGCGGAGGTGGAGGAAATGGTTGAAAGATGAAACGGCGTCGTCGAAGGTTGGGAGTTTGTGGAGCTTTTTGCGGTGGGTGCGAGCGAAGAAGGTTGTGTAAGGGTATAGAAGGAGAAAGGTTGTGGAAGATGATGAGGATGAAGTGCGAAGAGATGTGAAGAGAATGGTGGTTGCATAGATTGGATTCAACATGATGAGAAGGTTTCAGTGTAAATTGAAATTTGAAAATGGTTGCATTGTTGCATTGGATGCTAAACAAGTATGTTGTGGAAGATCAAAGTGCCGCGTAGGTATGTGTTTGGTTTCAAATGACAAGTGTGACGTCACCTACAATGGGTGTTTCAAAACCCTACAAATTTTATTTGAGAAATAATTTTAGAACTCTTCCGTCTATTAAGTTTTTATTACTTAAAATTTAGGAGAAAGTAATTTGAGTATTTGATGTGCTAGGGTTTTATGACCCAACCGTCAAGGTTTTTTTTCAAAATAGACAATGTGAAGATGAAAGAGAATGTGCAAGTGATCTCTGATAAAGATATGGTTATAAAAAAAAATACTGAAAAGGAAGACGGAGGAAGTTGGAATTGGAATACAAAATAATAATGGGAAGTCATTAGCCTTACTTAAGATCTAAGAATTAAGGAAAGTAGTATGGAGAATATGATTGCTCTATTTAGAGAGAGGTTGGTGCGATTTCGAAAAGTTTCAAATCTTCTATACTCTTTGCACCCATGACATAGTTAGAGGGATGTTCATATATTCGTTAGGATCCTTCCAACCAATTATCATTTGTTTACAAAGTCATAAACATATTCAATGTGTATAATAATAGCTTTCTGTCCGTAGCAATGGAGGATTATTGCCTACATATCATAGAGATATAGTTTGGCACAACAAAAATATGCGAAGGAAGAAAAATGCTAGCCCTAACAGCACGTGTATTCGAACTAAAATGGATATGACAAACAAAATGGTAAGATTATGCAATACATATCATCAGCCCGGATATAATCGTAAAAATTGTCTAAATGTTGGAGCAAACTTCACAACATAATTATTGTATGCACTTTTGATATGTAATTTATTATTTGTAACCATGAGATTTCATATTGAATACAACTTTCGGTTACAATAAAACAAACACAAACACGCATAAAACAACAACACGAGAAGCAAATAAAACAATTAAAATCAGCAACATGTCTAGGAGATTACACAATTAGGACAATATCATCTGATCCATGCATCACAACACGACAATCACTGTGAGTTTTAACCGGCTCCCAACACGATGTACTTCATTATTGTTGAACATCGTAAGAAGCCTTTCAATTCTTCTCTTTTCACCGTCTTGAATGTCTTCGCCTAATCAACAGATCAAGTTTCTCTCAAGATGCTCGAAAGTATAAGTGTTCTAAAGTCGGATCTTCATTTAAGGCTTTAGTGGCAAATAAAGAATATTAACATTTCTTTTAAAGATATAAGACATTTTAAAGAAAAATTAAGAATGAAATGAAAAGATGGGTAGCAAATGTTGAAGAATGAATGACCTATTTATAAAAAAATATTACAATATAAGCGTCAATGGAGAATTACACATCTTCTTAAGCTAGCATACATGTACCATAGATAATGACGTCTCCTCTAAGGGTAGTGATAATGGCGCATGGGTATTGCGTGTGCCAGAGGCCATGGCGCCTAAGTTTAATTTTAAGTGCATGTGTCATTGGCAATAGTTCCTTCTCTTGGCTGCATTTTTTTTTTTAATTTGGTACATGGGTATTGCGTGCGCCAGAGGCCATGACGCCAGAGTATAATTTTAAGTGCATGTGTCACTGACAATAACTCCAATTACTATTTTAAAACCAATAGAAAAACGGAGAAAAGAGCGGTTTGATAAACTCGTAGAATCGTAATTGTAATTGACTTTATGAATTAATAGATTTTGTCTGTCAAACCAATAAATCTATACATATTTTTAATCGATGGAGTCATTTTTTAATATTTATTTTACTAACCCATCAAAAAGATATTGTTTTGGATAGAGTAAGAAAATAAAAACTTAAAGAAATAAAAATAAATAAATAAAACTTTTTCCCTCCTTTAGAAATTTTTTGAAGCCTACTTAACTATATTTTTTGAAAATTTACATTATATTATTATGACTTGGCATTTGAATTGCGTTTTTGTTAATGAGTTTAGAAATAATGATTTTATAATTGTGTTCCAAAAATATTTGTTATGTTTGGAAATTAATACTTTTATGTAATATTGTTATTTAGCATGATTTTTATAGAAGTTACACAAAGCATCATCTTTCTCGGGTTGTTTTTGAGAAAAAAATTATAATAAATATTGTATTTGTTATTTAAACACCTTAGCATTTTATTCTTGAACCAAGCAAGATTCATTAATCAAATTTAATGACATGATATCTATAACTTAGTATGTATCCGGATTTAACTTCTGTTAACAAGCAAATAAAAGTTTTGGGTTCATATCTTGGATTGTTACAAATTCTGATCTATTTAAAGAGCCGTAAACAAATAAGTATATGATCTACTATGGCCACATTGTTGCAGTTCTTCATCCTTGCTTCTTCATCTTCATTGAGCTTCCGAGACTTCCAGTAAGTACGCATCGTTTGGCATCTTTCAAATGTTTGAAAACTCCTTCGTACCGGGAACACTGAAGAAAAATGCTTTTGGGACGAGAAGAATAAATTTAGCTGAAAATATGAATTGGGCCTAGTGATGGTAAGACATTGACAAAATTTTGTTTGGCTGAGTTTCTCTATACATCATGAATGTTTGAGCCTAGCAGTTTCTCCTCCTCTCTTGGAACTTCTGCGAGTTGAACACCGGTCCGAGTAATCTTGTTCCATTCATTTTCAACTCTAAAAAACACCCATTGGAAGCGCCGGAACATCTCCAACAGAGTGATACCAAACACTGTCAGATAATTATGGCGTAGATGAGCAGATAATTTGTATGTCCACGAACCACGCAGAACAAGGTTACTTCCAATTACCCAAAAGTATACCTGAAAGTTGTAAGTTGTAATTCGTGAATTAGATTTGTCATTGTTAAATCAAATTAAAGTATGTTGCAAGACGAGGCATTGATCAGATTATTACCCAATGTTGTCCATAAAACACATTGGTAACTAGACTTGGTTTGGTGAACTTAAATATGCGTGAAAAGCCGCTGTAAGAAAATTACAAAGCAAAATCAGGGTGAATACTTGTATCTGTACAAAATTGCAAGTGTGTTTGTTACTATAAACCTGAAAGGGAAAGATGATAGAATTGGTACCTTAAATCCCAATCTCTGGTTATATCCCAGTAAAATGAATAGAGTGAATTAATGACACTTGAGAGAAGCCATAGCGGTCGATAAAGGGTCGTCCATTTCTCAGGGAAGACGTGATACTTAAGGGCAGATAGAAAAATTACAGGGACTGCTGTTGAATATTTTAAAGCTGGAAAACAAGTGCAAATGGAGTTAGCATACTAGAAAAGCAAGCAACTATCGTGATCACAAGTTCATTACCATTATTTAAAATAAGTCAAAAAGAAAAAGATTTGTGTGCCTTAAGTGTTAAAGAATGTATGAACAATAGATTAGACAACACTGCACAAGTAATGCTGAACATCATAAAGGGATCTTACACTTAAGGTTAAGGACCAATCTAGCACATTAGTTTTAGAGCGGCTATTTGGTCCTTAACTTGTGTGGAGGACCAATCTAGCACATTAGAGTTAGTTTGGCGGACAAAATATTCTCTCAAGTCATATGACTGACACAATATAACACGGAACTGTATACAAAACTTATCAAGTGGTTGGTGGATAGGTAGTAATAAATATTTGTTAGCATTGTTATTATTAGGGCACACACATTAGACTACGTTTTAGATGTCTAATCCTGAGTATGAGGAGACGTGTTGCGATCTCATATCATCTCGAGGTATGACTAAATTAGTCCTTATAAGAAGTAGGCAATCCATTCCTCACCTCTTTGAGATAGCTTTTGGGATTGGGTTACTCCTAAAGCTCAAACTTTTATTCGACCACATGTATTGTCCATTTTAAAAATATTCAGACCTAGACGTGAGGGAGTCTGTTAAGATCTCAATTACCAGGTCACCCACGGTCACATTTCATATGTTCAGTACTGAGCATGACAGGGTGAATTGAGATCCCACATCGACTACAGATAGGGACAAATTTGTATGTACGGTTTGGTAAATCTTGACCTAACTTTAGGGTGATTTAGGTCTAAAGTTCAAAATCTAAGAATATTCAGATAGAAACGAAATTTTGACAAAATGAAAACTGAAGACATGTTACATTTTTAGGAGATTAGGGGGAAAAGTTGCCGAGAACAATTACCATTCAAGAGACAGTTTTTTTCTTTAGTATCTTTGTATTGGCGGAGACATTGCAATAGACGCCACAAATAAGGAAGAACAAGAACTATTGGTATTGCGATCGAGTGACTACCACATACTGAATCAGCTTCAAGCCAAGCAATTGTAGCAACCTGCATATTATAAAAACGAAAAAATATTTTATTCGAGTCCCTATTATGGAACAAATAAGGAAGGAAATACAAAAACCCAAACAGGCAACCAATGATAAAGAATGGAAAAGAGTTTTGATGTATCTGTAGTGTCTTACCAAGTTTAGCATTGGTTACATCTAAGTTATAAATGCAAATGAGAAGATTATTATAAAGCTAAAGGACCGTGAGCACCCTATCTCAAAAAAATAAGGAAAAGTAACATTCTATTTGACGAGTCATATTTTTTTTTAACCTGAAAAGAAACTCATTTAGACTTTTAGTTTTAGGTCATCTATAGTACAAAAGATGGTGGAAAATAGACTTCGGTGATTTGAAGATGTAGAGAGAAAACTTGTGGATTATATTGTAAGGAAATGGAGAGTAGTCAAACAATAGAGATAGAGGAAAACCTAGAAAAATTATAAGAAAAATTATTAAGAAAAATCTCGAGTTTAATGAGTGGGATAGGGCTTGGTTGTTGTTGTTGTTGTTGTCGTCGTCAACGCTTATAATAGAATATGTAGATTGACAAGTTACTACTACCAATTAAAGAAAATTTGGCATGTTTGATTTAACCATACCTGTTTGTTTACCATTCTACAAACCGAACGCTCCAAATCTGAAAACACCTGGATGAAACAAACAGTTAGGAGCCACAACTACAAGGAGGAATTGATACTAACACAAAATATCAGTAGTAAATTTTTTCATTAAAACAATAAAAATAAAAATAAAAATAAAATAAAATAAAATAAAAAAAGACCAGAGCAGTGCAGTGACTATCTAAATATACAAATTTCTTAGCACTTAGAAGTTGGCACTTCCGAAGTTAATAGAAAATTAGACCAATGAATGTACATTAAGTTATATGCTGTACCTTTGCCATGGAGGTTAAAATATCAGCCAAGAAAAAGTCGGGAAATGAAATTGGCTGTAAAAAGAAAAGAACCATTATTTGTGAGCCAAATGATAAGCTTTACGCAATCCATAAGAAAATCAATTAACAAATTTACAGAATCTAATGAAATAAACTACACCTAAAATATCAACACCCTTGAACCAAACTAGTGGCTCTCAAATTACTAAAACCGCGTCTTCACATCAATAAACATAAAGGTAACTAATGGAGATGTTACGTGTTCTTTAAAAAAGTAACCAAATGTGCATAAACACTGAAAGTTCGATATCTGGCATGATAGTCATGAATCTTGCCTGCAAAGGGAAAGCTATCCGCAACAGAGTCTTCAAAAAGAAGTACCGAGAGGATAAATAGAAAATATCGAAGGGAAAGATCAAGAGCATTGCAACAAATATGTAGAGAAGCACCTGCAATATGAAAATATTACATAATTAGAATACATGATAGACAAAATATTATTATAGAAAGGATCACAGGAAGCAATCCATTTGCTGGCATATAAGAAAATTTTAATTCCACCATTCTTAAACAATTAATCTAACACCAGCTTCTACATGAAAGCATAAATAAGAAGCCCCTGATACCAACACATAGAATGAAGCTACATCAACATGTTATGTTATATTTATATATCAAAAGGAAGAAAAAAAATGTATATCAAAAAAGTCAACGGAGGAAAAAACAGAGCAGATACTGAACTGGTTGAGATGCAGCCAATGATACTTCCCCATGAGAATAGAGATAGAGATAAGAAGTCATGCTGGTAGGGACAAGGATTGTCATCCAAGTGCTACACTGAAAATAATACAAGATTTGAAGTTAGTATATAAACATGCATATGGGTTTATGCTCTAAATATACGGTATTGGCATCATCAAACCATGTCGTTAACACAACATTCAAAGTTATTATTTTCTATTTTCCTTTTGTCTGAATTCCCACAACTTCAATTTACTTTGATTACTAATATATTTTAGAGAACCAGATACAGGCAACTCCATGGTCGAAATATCAATTGTCAAAATTGAGAATCAAGAAAAATGTTGAACATTTTTGCACTTAGAAATGAATAATGTTTTGTAAAAAGCAAAGGCAGGGAACTCGATTACCTTCCATATCTCTTTGTGAGTAAGGTGATTTTGATCAATATCAAAAACCTTGGGATAGCTTACACTGGACTGTAGAAATACCCACACATTCACTCCCCAAAGCCAGACCATAATAGTCTGTAAAAGTAACAGCGAAAATCATCAAGCAAAGTTTTCATAAAAACTACATTCAACATAAACAGTAGAATTAACCCCCAACTCACCACAAGTAGGAGAGGGTTGTAATACAAAAAAGCCTCGTACAAAAACAGATCTCTCAAATTTGCATCCATTCTCATGACAGAATCCCAACCAATCTGATGCAAGAGCATAAATAAGTTAATAGTATAGAAAAAGAAATGTTACGGAATCTTCTCAATGATACATAAGATTAAGTGAAAAAACAAGCTTTGACCTTACAGCAAGTAAGTCCCCATATCAGAAAGAGTGTCACCTGAAAAAGCAAAAAAAAATGAGAGCACGCAAGAGGTCCATAAACACTAGGAGTTAAAAATTAACCGATAAATCGAACAGGCCTGTCTAATACTTCTACAAATTAAAAAATTCAATCTGAACAAACAATTTATTTTCAAGAACAAAATTAAATTAAATTGAGTCTATATAATTTCACTAAGGAACATCGCTATAACACAAACATTGCAACAAATGACAAGCTTGCAATTAAAACATGCAGCACAACAGTATTTTTATGCAGATTGTACATGATAAACAAACAGACCTTGAACCTCCATAGAAAAGTAGGAGATGGCGCGGCATTTTGAATGGGTGAAATCATATTCTTCATTGTATCAGACAATACTATTTTACTGTAGGAAGTTTGGGTCTTCTTCTGCAAAACAAAAACAAAAATTGGTCAATATAAATCATACTGTATCAGCTGTATTTAAGCTTCTACGGTTAAATTATATTCAGGAACATTGCATTGGCCTTTGTCTGTTGCTAACGATATACTCCCTCCGTTTCAAAATAACTGTCATTTTGGGGGAAAAAAATTGTTTCAAAATGAATGTCATTCTCACTTTTCAACGTAGAAATGATTCTTATTTTTCCAATTGTGTCCTTTAATAATTATTCTGCACACTTCTTCCAACACATTAATAAGAGTAATTCAATAAAAGTGCAATGTCTTATGACAATATTATTACATTCTTTAATCCGTGTGCAAAAACCTTAAACGACCGTCATTTTGAAACGGAGGGAGTATCTTTAACTTCTATGTATGAAATATGTGCACTAGTGTTGCGCCTTAACACTACCAATTTACTACTTGTCATAAAAATGACAGCATCTATCCGACATGAATGAAACCTCCAATGCATTAGACTAGAGTAATAAATTTTGCACTTACGAAACGGGGTATTTCAATGTCGTCGGACTCAAAAAAAACCCTACACTATACATACAAAATACAAGCATTCCACGTGAAAAGCTGAAAATTTAAGCATCCAGTACAATTGAAGCAAATCCAATTCTTCAATAAACCATAAGCCACACCACATCAGAATTAAGAACAACCAAAATCAAAATATTAAAAGTCAAACACTTGGCATGCAAAGAAACACTAATTCTAATAGGAACAAATCTATTCAAACTTTCTCAACAAATTCCAAAACCTAACCATAAAAAAACTCAAACCCAAACAAACAGAGCCATAACAGCACTATAAATCAATCCCATCAGAGCCAAAAAAAAAACATCAAAATCCAAAATTGACAACGACCCATCATTCACAGAAACCTACTACCTCTGAAATCTCAATCACCAACTAAAACAAAAAAGAAATTGAATCAGAAAAATTACCTGTCGTTACTGTTGTCAGAATGATTCCGATCTGAGAGAAGAACAATGGGAAACTTTTTCCAACCGCAACATGACAAAAAGGAATGATGTTGCGTAAATCTCAAAGAATGTTGTTTAGTTGCATTGTTGGCATTGAGAATTGGAGGAAAAGGAAAAGAAAAAGCTTGAAAGTGGCAGTGTTGATGTTTCACCCGCCACTATGTGTATGTATTACCAAAAGATTCATAGATTACTCAGTTGTGAATTGTGAATTCTAAGAGATAGAATGGTTCACAGTTTGATTGAACAAGGACAAGGAATCGTAACTGTAACTCTACTCGTCTCAACTTTTCAACGCTATTATTTTTTTTAAGCTCAAAATGAAAAATTGTTTTTTTTGTATAAGTAAAATAAATTATAAAAACTTATTTAAGTATCACAATTATGGAATAAAATTTCAAATATACTATTTCGGTCCTATGGAAAATAAGAAAAATATTATTTTTAAATTTAATAAATAATCAATATATCTAGATCGATACATTATTTATTTAATAAATTTAAAAATTAAATTTTTTTTATAAATAGAATTAAAAAGAATATTTATGAAAAACGCCTTTTAGTTAATCTATAATTTTTTTAAAGTAAAATATATATTTTTTCTTTCGAAATTCATTTAAATCACTTAACTTTTAAAAGGATTAATATAGTTTTTTGTATCTTCAAACAGTGTCACGTATTAGTTATTGGGTAAGATAGTTTGCTGGTAAAATATTTAAATTGGTCTCTTAAATCTATTTTTGAGGTCCAATTTCATCTTTTAATTTTAAAAAGTTTCAAAATTATTCCTTAAATTTTAAAATGGTAACATATTAACATGTTCCCTTTCTGCACCTCTATACAAATTAAACAAATTAAATTAATATTAAACATTTTTCCATGTTGTTGTTTTTGTACAATACAGTCAATCCAAAAAAAAAAACATCAGCTTTATATGGACTGGTTCACTATACAATGAATTATGTTCTTTTTCTAAGAACAAGAAATTTTAGACACCATTAAAAAATTAGATGTTTATGTAATTTGATTTTTGGAAAATCAAGTTGAGAAAAATTAGGTAGATGTTATGCTTCATACATGTAGGATAACAAAAAGAAGAACACCATTCTTTCCCATGGTGAATTAATCATAAAAATCCTATTCAAGGAAGAGAATAAAAAATTATGCACTCAAAAATTAGGAAAGACATCAGGAGTAAAATGCAATATACTATTCAAAGATAAATTGTTTCACTATTTAAGAAACAATAATTTCTCTTCATCCTCTTCAAATATTCTCAATGATATATGTGATAATCAAAAAACAATTTATTAAAAATCAACAAGCTTACCAAGAAAATGGAGAAAATAAACATCGAATCTTTAATGATGTTAGTGAGGATAATGATAAGATGAACTAATTATTTCTTGAGTAATGTTAAATTGTGCTCTTGGGGCACATGTTAAGGAAACCACTTTTAGTAAATTTGTATTGAAAAAAGTAATTTAAAAATTAATTTTATATTTTAATTTAAGTTTGTACACAATTTCCAAGATGATACTTCTTAATTTAGTCCTTAACATGTGCCCCAAGAGCACAAGTTAATATTACCCTTATTTCTTATTCACTTTTATTATTTGGTTTTGTCTTTCATGCAATTTCTCTTTTGGTTTTTTACTTGAATTAAATAAAATTATGTTTATTTTTTTCTAAATAATTATTTACTAATATATTTGTATATTTAAATTATTCTAATACACCTTTATAAGTTTTTTATTTTTTAATAAAGAGGAAGAAGTATACTCTAATAAAAATTAAAATATGATATCTATTAGTTGAATGTGAGTTTAATTATTCCAATCATATATCTGATGTTTTTTTTACCACATCTAAGAAAAGATTAATCTTTAAAAGTAGAAATTATCGTAAGTTTTACAAAATTAATTTACTTAAAATCAAATTTTCCAAATATCATAATTCACACTTATTCATAAAATAATTATAACTATCACTTAATTAAAAGAAAGAAAAAAAAAACTCCTTTAAACCTTCACCTTTCTCCTATCAAAATAGTCGCAAACCAAGAGTTGAAGACGTAACTATGGCGAACCCAGAAGCAAAGCTCGAAACTTTCTTGCAGTGGCTTCAGGTTTGTTAACATGGTTTGTAATTTACTGCAGAAGTGAATAAACATATTAACCTTTTATTGCTATTGTGAATTTTCAATTTCAGGCAAATAGGGTGGAGCTACGAGGTTGCAATATCAAGTACTGTGATTCCAGAAAAGGGTTTGGCATTTTTTCTGACAAAGATGTTTCTGATGGTAATAATAATGTACTGAAATCAATATGAATAGAATATTGTTATTGTTGTTTTGAATTGGAGATAATGAAAATACTCATCTTTTATTGAAATTGATTTTGTTTTCTTTGAATAAAGGGATTATGTTGGTTGTTCCACTAGAGTTAGCAATTACTCCGATGAGGGTGTTGCAAGATCCTTTTCTAGGACCAGAATGTAGAGCATTGTTTGAAGAAGGAGATGTAGATGACAGGTTCTTAATGATGCTGTTTTTGACTGTGGAGCGTTTGCGTAAGGGTTCTCTATGGAAGCCGTATGTATGGTTTTTTTTTTGTTTTACTTTATGTTTTTCAGAACTTTATGTATTGGGAATTTTAATGAGTTATCGAGAAGCTGACATTTAATCAGGTACCTTGATATGCTTCCAACCACTTTCGGAAATACACTTTGGTTTAGCGAAGAAGAACTTCGAGAGCTGAGAGGGACTAACTTGCATCGTGCAACTGAGTTACAGGTAATTGATGTATGACGGAACCAAATGTAGTTTGTTTAATGGGTTGGTGATAGAACCAGATGTCATTTAGCAGTAGTTGATTTGATTACTGTTCTATCTTGCAGAAGAAAAGCCTGTTGAATTTGTATGAAACTAAAGTGAAGGATTTAGTGATGAAACTTTTGAATCTTGACGGAGATTCTGAGATGTATGTGTGTTTATTAGTTAATGTTTTTAAATAGTTTATTCGTAATTGACTCCAATTATATGTCAATCATGTTAATTTGGTTTTGAAATTAAGAACTATTGTTTTGAAAATATAACTTAATAGTATTAGTTCACTGCTTCACTTTATATGAAAACTACTATTGCAATAAGAATTAAATGTGAATGTGGTTTATGATGTTATATATAATATACCTTCTCAATTTTCTTCAGGATGATGAATTGAAATGCGCTTTCTAGATTTTGTTTTTAAACAGCAATTTTTGAATTTTAAACGTAAATTTACGGTGGTTTTCTTGTGTGTGTATCTGTTTTTCCAGTGAGGTGTGCTTTGAAGATTTCCTGTGGTATGTACTTCTAGTGAACTTGTATATGCGCATGAATTCAGCTAATTATTTGGAAGTTTATGTCCGACTTGCGTTAATGCTAGGGCAAATTCAGTTTTCTGGAGCCGTGCTTTGAACATTCCAATGCCTCGTTCTTATGTATTTCCTGAGATGCAAGATGTTCATCAGAGTTGCACTCCAGAAGCTGATGAAAAGGGTAATTCCATCTCTACCCAGTTCCCTTTAAAAGTCCTCTCCTGTGATGCATCCAATGGAGCCGTCACAATAGTGTTTTTTTTTTTTTTTTGAATTTGTGAGTTAAAAGTGATACTTAAATTAGGAATGTTTTATTAAAGGAAGCGAAGCTACAAAATCAGACGATCTAACCAGGGAAACGACACATAGCACAGTACATGGAGAGACCGTTTGGGTTGAGGGTCTTGTCCCTGGTATTGACTTTTGCAACCATGGTAAGATGTTGCTTGAAGCTCTGACATTTTCACTTCTTTATGTGCTTTTAAAATACTTTACTTGTTAATTTTTTTCATTAATTGGAATCTGATTTTTTACACGACCAATCAGATTTGAAGCCAATAGCAACATGGGAAGTTGATGGGATTG